TAGTTCTTGGATATCAACACTAACAACATCATAAAGATAAATGCACACTATAACAAAAAAATCTCACAGATAAGTGTGTAAAGCCCAGAAAAACGAAGAGGAATCTGGATGATCAGCTCCGGTCAAAATGTAGCCCTTTTTGTCAGGAACAACATACTAAAATTTGACTTCAATCGGACCACAAATGAGGCTCAATCATTGACAAAGGAGAACCAAAACCATGCTTTTCTCTCACTCTCTGTCTGCATGTTGTATGTGTATATTGTGTGTAAATGTTTGGTCTCCAACTTGGTAATACATTGGTCTTTGGGCCCAAGACAAAAGAAGTCCACTAACCATTTAAATGGGCTCATAGGAGGGAAGCCCAACAAATTTAAAGAGTAATTCAATCTTTAATGCAAGATCATCAAAAATGCACCACACATCCACTGCACTACCACCACCGGCACCACCACACCCTACCAACATCATAGTTGACACCACCACCACCTCCATTTTACAGCCCAGCGTCATACCACCACCTCACGCAGATCTAACTATTGCATCACTACCTCTCAAATCCTTCCCAATACAAAGTCACCACCACCAAAACCACCACACAGCCACCATCACAAAGATGAGATCCAATAGCTTCTATGAGGTTGAGAGAGAGAGACTTTTTTTCCAAAATATATAGTTTTTAGGGAGATATATGTTATTGGGATCCATGTGTACAAATGTATAAAATATATATGAATGTGGGTTGGGCGTGGTTGGAGGGGGGTAAATATATGTTTCTAAAATATAAAAATATCTATCACTTAATTGTTGAAAAAAAAAAAACTATAACCTGATTTTTTTTTAAGTTGAAAATTGAAATGTAGTGTTCAAGGTAATTTTCTCAATTTTGTTTCTCAATTTTTTTTCCCAAAAAATTAGGCTAGAGTCCAAATTTTGGACCATTTCTAAATGGTTTGGATGCAACCGCATTGGTTCACTACACATTAGGCTGAAATTCAAGGCCTAGAGCTATGGAGATTTTGGATGGAAGCAACAAGTTAGAAATTAAAGAATTGGGTCAGATTGCAGTCCCAACTAGCTCTTTAATTAATTTATAATTTGTATCTAGGTTTTAGGCTATATAATTTTTTTCTGCTTTAATTAAATTGTGAATGAACGTCATTTATACAACATGCCATCTCAATCCCCTATATACCGCTCTAGGTACTATAACGTCATGCATGATCGATGGTATTTATTTCTTTCCGAAAATGTTTAGTTAATATTAGATAAATATTATTATTAGCAGTTAGACTGTTCAAATTAAAATTGTTTAGGAGTTGTGAATTAGTAAAATCCAAATATTACAAAAATATTGAGTGACGGTAAGGTGTTTGAGTGAACCTATTAGTTCATTGGTAAGAATACTTTGAGTGAGGGTTGATTTGGGGACTTTCTATAGAATATCTAAATGATATCATTGATGAGCAAGACTAAATTAATATTGCATGAGATACTAAGATATGTTAGCTTCAATGTGTATTCCGGCCTAGCTATAAATCACATGTAACGCCCCGAGTTCCTTGAACTCGGATTGCCACGTCATCTTTATTTGTAACAGAATTAACTAAAAAGATTTGCGTAAAATAACTAAATTTTAAACATCACATTTATAACGGTAAAACATCGTTTGCAACAAAACTCATTTGATTAACTTAAGAAATTTGATTAAACTCTAAGTCTTGAGTTTTTGAAATAATTGAAATGACAAAATACATTAATAATATTCAAACACGTAATTTTTCAAATGTAAATAAC